TTTCCTGGGCTGAGTCACTCCCTTACACAGCAGAGGACATCTTTCCCACATAGACATTTGCCTTGCCTGGTAGGGGAGAAAGTCAACACACCCTATTGGACAACACCTTGCCCTGAGGTCACTTAAAATCTTAAAAGTAGCAATTAGCCTCCAGGCAGAAGCAACTGACCCACCCTGTTGAAAAAAACTCTTGCTATACCTGAGGATGATTGTCCGGGGGCAATTCAAGTTGGAATTCTATTAGTCTGTAGACAGAGGCGGTCTCTGGAGGCTTTAAGTCTTTGCCTGATCCAATTAGTCAGAAACTGACTTTAACACTGTCCTGCAATAGAAATTGAGAGGTGTAGAGCATCTACCTAAAACATAGTCACAAACCCAGACAACCAAAATGAGGAGACAAAGAAACAACCCCCAAATGAGAGAACTGGAGAATTCTCCAGAAGAAGAGGTAAATGAAGCAGAGATAAGAAACTTACCTGAAACAGAGTTCAGAGTAATCATGGTAAAAATGCTCAACAATATGAAAAAAGATATAGTAACTATGGAAAAAGAACAGTCTGGGATAAGGAATGACATAACACAAACAAAGAACACATTGGAAGGAATACACAGTAGATTTGGGGAAGCTGAGGATCTAATCAATGAATAAGAAAACAGAATTGAAAATATCACTCAGAGAACCAAAAAGAAAAAAAAATTTAAAAAACAGGAGGCAGCTAGAGGGAGCTCTGGGACAATGTGAAACATAACAATATTAGAGTAGCAATTGTGCCAGAAGAGGCAGAAAGGAAGAAAGGAATAGAGAAGGTGTTTGAAGAAATAATGGTAGAAAACTTTCCCAACCTGGTAAAGGAAAAAGTCACACAAGTTCAGGAGGCACAGAGAACAAGAACAACATGAACAGACCCATGCACAGACACATCATAATTAAAATTAAAATGCCCAAAATTAAAGACAATAAGGGAATCTTAAAGGCAGCAAGAGAAAAGAAAACTATTACCTACAAAGGAGTTCCCAAAAGGCTGACACCTGATTTCTCAGCAGTAACCCTACAGGCCAGTAGGGAATGGCATGACGTGCTTAAGGTAATGGAAAGCAAGGATCTGAGACCAGGATTACTATATCCAGCAAGGCGATTATTCAAAAAAGATGGTCAAATGAAGAGCTTCCCAGACCAAAAAAAAAGGCTAAAGGAGTTCATCACCACCAAGCCAGCATTACAAGAAATGCTAAAGGGAGTGCTGAGAAGAAGAAACAGAGAGAGAAACCTAGCTATACAGAATTAAAATGGCTATAAATAAGTTCCTCTCAATAACCCTAAATTTAAATGGATTAAATGCTCCGATCATAAGGCATAGGGTAACTGAATGGATACAAAAACATGACCCAACTATATGCTGTCTGCAAGAGACCCACCTCAAAACAAAAGACACACACAGGATGAAAGTGAAGAGATGGAAAAATAATTTTCCATGAAATGGAAAAGAAAAAAAAGCTGCAGTAGCAACACTCATATCCGACAAAATAAACTTTAAAATGAAGGCCATCACAAGAGACAACAAAGATCACTACATAATCCTAAAGGATAGATTTAACAAGAGGATATAACCCTGGTAAACATATATGCACCCAATATAGGTGCACCTAAATATATTTTTAAAAATTTTAGAGGACTTTAATGGAAAGATTGACAACAATACAGTCATAATAGGGGACTTTAACACCCCTATAACTTCACTGGAAAGATGTTCCAGACAAAAAAATTAACAAGTAAACAGAGACTCTGAAGGACACACTGGATCAGATGGATCTAATACTAGTAGACATTTACAGAACATTTCATCCCAATGCAGCAAAATATACATTCTTCTCAAGTGCACGTGGATCATTCACAAAGATAGACCACATGTTAGGATACAAAACAAGTCTTTAAAAGTTCAAGAAGATTGAAATCATATCAAGCATCTTCTCAGATCACAGTGGAATGAAATTAGAAATCAACTACAGTGAAAACACCCCAAAACATTCAAACATATGGAGGATAAATAGCATGTTATTAAACAATGAATGGGTTACCAACAAGATCAAGAAAGAAATTAAAAACTTCCTGGAAACAAATGAAAATGAACACAAAACAACCCAAAATCTCTGGGTCACAGCAAAAACAGTCTTAAGAGAGAAGTTCAGAGAGAACCAAGATGGCGGCATAGGTACACACTTGGACGTGCTGCCCCCCACACCCACACAAAAACTACAACTAAAATACTGTTGAGGGATGTTTAATGAACTGAAGAGGCAGAGATAAGATGAGCACACAGGCGACTGATGCCGGGCAGAGGGCTACCACTCACTCAGGCATGTAGCAACCTCTGTACCTTTAACCATTGCTTTTATTGGGGTTTAGCATGAGGTTAGTTAGTGCATCACCAGTTAATCAACTAAATTTTGTTTTGTTCTATATTACAATAGTGCATTAAAGACAACTTGCAGCTGTGTCCTCCCCTTCTGCTCTACCCATGACTATTTAATCTTATCCTTTCTCAGAGAGGGAAATGTTCCGGGAACTCAAGATTGTGTGCAATCTTGGCCCAGCATGACTCGCTTGCAAGTCACGTTGTTGTTCCTGATGGAACATTCACTTCTTCTTGGCAGGACTTCAGATCCTTGTTTACAAATGTCCAGCTACAAATCACCCCCTTTTTTTTTTTTTTTTGTTTCATTTGATGGAGCATCAGCAATAACAAAGCTGCTTTTCTATTAGCTAGTTGCTTGGTTTTCCTGAGTCTTTGGCAGACTAAATATAAAATGATACAGAGACAGATTATTAATAATAGCATTCCAGCAGAAGCTCCTAAAGTGGCTTGTAAATGGGGTATAGGATTTAATTGTTGCAATCCCTCAACCATATCTTTTAACACATTTTGCCCAGTTAATCTATGCAATTCCTTCTGAAATGTTTCTTGTATATGAGATTGTAAATCTAGAATTTCTTCTGTTAGATTCATATGATTGAACAAATGTTTTTTAACCTTTTCCTATGGAAACAAACTTTCATTATAAGGTACAGGGGTAATGCAAAATGATGAATAATTCCAGTCACATTTTATATTCATTTGTCTTTGCAGACTTACAATTTGATCTCCTATCATTAATACAGCTTGTTGCAGATCAGCAATTTCTGCATGTATTTCAGTATCGATTTGTCTTTGGACGGACCATAATCATTCTGACTCCTTATGCCAATCAGCTACAAAATCAGTAGTCTGAACAGATTGTTGCAATGCTACTCCTGCAACAGCTGCAGAGGCTATAATCGCTATAAGTCCCAAAATTACTGTAATTAACATTCCAATAAACCTTTTTCCTCTTTTAAGCAAATCTTCTGCAATATCCTGTAGCATAGCAGTAGCTGGAGAATCCTGCCATCTACGATGCTTTTGTACTGGCAGCCATACTCCAGGTCTAGCTTTCAAAATATAAATGCTTTCAGATGATTGGTTAAATACAATAGAAGAATTTAGACAAGTATAGAAAGAACAATTAATACAGGAAATTTCCCCCGAGTTAGCATTCCACTTAACATCTCCTTTCATTAATAAAAATGGTAATTGAACACAGGCTTGTACAAAGGCAGTTTTGTTAACATAAAATTGTAAGGTGTAATTCCCAGAGTTATTTTTATAGAAGCCAGTCCATGCTTTCAAAGAGTGTAAGGCAGATCCTAATTTCTATAAGTCAGATTGTGCCGGAAGCCGGTCCATCCTTGCTGCTTGACACAGTCGCTGCAGGAAAGAAACATCTGCACAGCATATGTTTCAAGGGACCTGGCGTATATAGCATACTGTTCTTAATATGTTTGCTCCCCTTGCTGTGTGTTTTAACCAAGGTCACCTCTCCGAGAAAGGTTGTTTCCCCAGGTAGGAATTTTTCCCTGAAGTCAGGGAGGGGATGCCTCTCCTAGAAATGTTGTTTCCCCAGGTAGGAATTTTTCCCTGAAGTCAGGGAGGGGATGAAACTCCTTAACTAAGTGCCAGGCGGGTAGTTAATCACTACAAACAATCATGCTTAAGCTACATAATCTTTACTCCCTGGAATGGAGATAAGAAACGCCCTAACCTTTGTAATAGAAATTGACAGGATTAAAATCAAGTGGGATAAATACGGATGTAACAAGACAATAAACAGCAGAACTTCGCTGGAGATCCAGACCAGAACTTGGTTGGAGATCCTGGCTGGAGATCCTTGCTAGGCTGCTGATCAACTGAACGCTGTCTCTGTGTCATTCCTTCTTCGCCGACTCCATCCACACCTTTGGGGACCCCTGGACCTGCTGGGGTTGGACCCCGGCAAGATTGAACAGGATGTCCTTCTTGATGAGGTGTTGGGGGGGGGGCAAATCCTCGACCATGCCACACGATGCTTGCATTCGCTTGCGTGGACATGGACTTGTTCTCTTCTCTACACTATTGTAGATCAACTCCATTGGCTTTGGAACGGGCAGAACTTGAAGGGCTCCAACCAATGATGCGTCCATAGGAAGTATTAGATAAAACCTGAACCGTCTATCCTCGACAGGATTCCTAATGGACCCAATTGGACAAGTGCGTAAACGTAGGAACATGACATGGTGGAAGTAGTGGAGGTGTACTATTGTTATCCCAACTAACATTTTTAAACCCATGAGCACTCAGAAGAAACAAACGCCTATTTTTTGTTGAAGTAGTAGTGTTTTCCAAAATGCTCAGCCAGGCTTGTGCCTGTATTGTTAAACAATGTTCTCCTTGACCTAAGCATATTGGCACTCCCTGCATTCCAGTGGTATAATTTTCTATGACTCTACCTTCCTCTTCTGGTTATAATGGACCTCGATCATCATAAGGTCTGGGTATCCAATTTGAGTCATTAACATAAATTTGAACCTTTGAATCTAACCAAGAAAAACCTCTATTCAGTGGGGGATTAGGAATGTAAGCCCAGTATGTATGATTTTCAGCATTTACCTGAGTGGTTATTAGTGCAAGCATAGCAAGGAACAAAGTAGATCGTGTCACTTCTTTACCATGATGCGGAACCAGTTGTTCTCCCTCTTGGGTAAGCTTCTTCACCTGACCCCAGGTTGGCACAGATGAATGTTGCATTGACCGTAGAGCTTTGCGGATAGGAGGCCCCGTCAACGTCATCTCTGAGAAATCCTTGGTCAGGTCACTTAAGTAGAACTTCCTTTTGGTTCCCATGTCTCAGCTTAAGACACCTCTCAGGAACCCAGAACTTTTCTTTACCTGTGGAAATATAAGCATAACCTTGCTCCCATCGTAGGACCCATGCAGGATCCCACGGCTGAGAGGACTCATTATGATAAAACACAGGTTGATTCAATTCTTGTGAAACCTCCTTTACCCAATGTCGCTGAGCAGCAGTGCTGTCAGTCTCATCTTGATTTAAAAAATTTAAAGTAAATAGAGCAGTTAATAGTCTTTGTTTAGGGGATTCTCCCCCTTTTTGTTTTTTGAGCATTTCCTTTAGGGTGCGATTTTGTCTTTCAATAATAGCTTGTCCTGTTACCAGGGATGCCAGTGATGTGAGTGATATGATGAAATTGAAAAAATGTTCGACATTTTGTAGATAGATATGCAGAACTATTATCAGTCTTAATATTTTGAGGTATTCCCATCACTGCAAAAGCTTCCATTAAGTGAGTAATTACTGCATCTGATTTCTCAGACGTCACTGCAGTAGCCCAAGAACTAATTAAAGTTTGGAGTTGTCGAAATAAAACATGCAGCTCTGACTCATCATTGAGAATAGTGGCAGTCTCAATATTTTTAACAGTGAATTCTGCATATTGAGAATTAGTGACAATATTTACAGCTTGAGGAAAATGTTGCAGTAATAAAACAATGGCAAATAGTTCTGCCCATTGCACTGAAGTGTATGGAGATTGAATTGCCTTTGTTAGCTGTTCGAAATGAAAACCAGCTATTCCGAGCTTGTTAGCATCGGTATAAACAGTAGGGCCTTGAACTGGTTCATTAGCTATAATACGAGGCAATATCCATTGAGTTTTCTTAAGAAATTGTAACCTTTTATCTGTAGGATAATGATTATGTATTTTCCCTAAAAAAATGAGCACAAGCAGTTTGCCCATCATCATATATTCAAAACAATTCTTGAATTTCCTTGACAGTAAAAGGTACTATAATTTCTTCTGGATCTAAACCACATAATTGTCTTAATCTTAATCTTCCTTGTAAATAATTTGGCAAATTTTTTGAATATAAGTCTGTGATTTTTTCTGTGATTTATGAGGCAAGAAAATCTATTCAACAACATTACTGTCTTGAACAAGTAACCCTGTAGGAGAATGCTCAGTGTGGAAGATTAATCATTTAAAATTGTCCATGGAAAGAATTCTATTTAATTGTGCTTGTTGTACATGCTCTTCTATCCAAGTTAATTCTTTTTCTGCAGCAGGGGTTAAAACATGGGGACTATCTAATTCAGATTGCCCCTCTAGGATTTGATATAAATGAGTTAATTGATAAGTAGGTATACCAGGGCTGGGTCTTAACCAATTAATGTCTCCTAATAACTTTTGAAAATCGTTTAGAGTCTTTAAACTGTCTCTTCTAATTTGAACCTTCTGTGGAATCATGGATACATCTGTTAATTTTTGCCCAAGATATTTCCATGGCTCCTGCCATTGTACCTTTTCTAGAGCTACTTCTAATCCATAGTCTTGGAGTTTTTCAAGGAGGTATTGGTAAATCTCCTGTAATTGTGATTGAATTTCAGAAGCTACTAAAATATCATCCATATAATGATAAATTAGAGCATTAGGAAATCTTTTTCTGACTATTTCTAAAGGTTGATGTACATATGCCTGACTAGTCTGATTTAGTATTGGAAGGGTTAAAGAGAACAAAACGGGGCAGAGAAAAACTTGTTGTGCTTAGTAGCAGCTTGCAGCCTTGAGTCCAGCATAGTTCAGATAAGAAACTATCTCTCCCTGCTCTTCTTGACAATGGCCCCCCTCCTTTTCTGCATTAACCATTTGGATATTGGGGATACTGTTGCATATCCGGTGGCTTTTGCTGCCGCTGTATCGGAAATGCAAGGAAATCATCATTTCTTCTCCAGGTGGAGGAACAATCTCATCTCCAGGTTCTAAATCTAATAATATTTTGTTTATTTCAGTAGGCAAAGGCAGCTGGAATTGCCGATGTGCCCCTGTGGAATAATGCGGTGGGTCTGGAGGAGGAGCCGTGGGAGTTTTCCTGGGCTCCTCCGGCAGTGGCAGTTGAACTGAAAAAGCATTTTTCATTAAGTCCAGTAACTTATTAGTGGGTTTAACATGAGGCAGTGGGATACCACATATTAAAGCCTTCATATGAATCAGAAAATCTTTTAATAACTCTTGTTCGTCATCCCTTGTCTTGCTTTTCTTTTTTAAAACCACTAGAATCAGTGCTATTAGTTTCACTTTCTGAGAAATCCTGAATGCCCTCTTTATCAGTCCCTTCTATATCTTCATATCCCTCCAACTTCTGTTCAAAATCTTTCCCTTTTTCCTCTGTATTATTGTCATGAGGCAAAGAAGGTAATGGTCTATTAGGCATGTCTTTATCAGTTTCACAAGCGGACTGATTTCTGCCTGTCGGCTCAAACCAATAACAATGCCTTCTTATTTCTCTAGCTAATTTCCTAAAAGTATCTTGAGACACACTAACCCCAGTGCTTTTAAGCACTGAATGCAGCAGAGTCATATATTGACTCTCTGCTGTCAGGGAGTTCCACATTGCTCTGCCTGGCTTGCCGAAAGTTTTGCGTAAACTGTCACAGACTTTTTCCCTTTCGTTCCTGTGCTTTCCCCGCACTTACCTTAAGGTCCCACGTTCTGGGCGCCAAGTGTTGAGGGGTGTTTAATGAACTGAAGATGCAGAGGTAAGACGAGCACAGAGGCTATTGATGCCGGGCAGAGGGCTACCACTCGCTCAGGCATGTAGCAACCTCTGTACCCTTAACCATTGCTTTTATTGGGGTTTGCCATGAGGTTAGTGCGTCAGCAGTTAATCAACTAAATTTTGTTTTGTTCTATATTACAATAATGCTTTGAAGACAACTTGCAGCTGTGCCCTCCCTTTCTGCTGTACCCATGACTATTTAATCTTATCCTTTCTCAGAGAGGGAAATGTTCCAGGAAATCAAGATTGTGTGCAATCTTGACCCAGCGTGACTCACTTGCAAGTCACGTTTTTGTTCCTGATGGAACATTCACTTCTTCTTGGCAGGACTTCAGATCCTTGTTTACAAATGTCCAGCTACAAAGACAAAAATGGCTATCATCCAGAACCACAGGAAATGTGGCTGAGTGGAAGTTCTAAAACTAGAAGGAAAGCAAAAGCACATTGAAAGTGGGTAGGAGGTGTGGAGGCGCCAAGAACAGAGGTACAGAGGCACGCAAAATGGGCTGACAACTGGGTGCGTGATTTTTTTTCAATTGGAAGGGAGATACAAGCTCCCGATGGCTCTGAATTCCAGATTCCGGCGAGACTCTAGGGACCCAGACTCCTACGGGGAGAAATGGGACTGTCTGCCATTGGGTCAGAAAGTGAGGGTGGCTTTCTCACAGAGATCATTGTTACTGTGGGAGTGCGGGACTTAGGGATGCGGAGATGCGGAGACCCAGAGAAGCAAAGACACACAGAGATGCAGAGACATGCAGAGACGCGGAGATGGCTGAGTGACAGCCATCGCTGTTTGCTCTGCCCTGATGATTCCCTGAGACCCCGCCCCACCCAATTTACAACCCAACCCAAGCTGTGCCCAGTGGCGTATATGAATCGTGTGTCCTTTCACAGCCTAACCTAACAAACTTCAGCTGGGTCAGAGAGCTCCCAAACTCCCAAACCCCAAACAAAGAGGAGAAATCTGCATTGCTCGCTGTAGCTCCTGCTGGGTGGACTCAGGCAGTGGCTAACTTTGCAACTCCTTGGAGATCCAGGGGTCAGTGTACTCAGAGGTAAGGTACCAGATTTCAACTCCTCACATCCATAAATGACACACTCAAGAGGCAGACTCAGTAAGCACCAAAGCCCCACTGAAGCAAATCCTGCCCTATAAGAGTGTCTCCAGCACAGCAGCTCTCCTACTGTAGTCACAGCTGGTCCCCACAGCCAGTTGGCCTGGAGGTCAATTCTTGCCAGTGATACCAACAGCAATCAAGGCTTAACTACAACAATACTGTGCACAGAGCCCACAAAGGGGTACAACAAAAGTGTCCACCTCAGGTGATTGGGGAGGCTAAGCCACTGGGACAAATAGGACACCTACCACACAAAGCCACTCTATCAACACAGGGAAGCAGCCAAAATGCAGAGACAAAGAAAAATATCACAAATGAAAGAAATGGAGGAAAGCAAACTATGGGATATAGAGTTCAAAACCACAGTTATATAGTTACTCAAGAATCTTCTACAAACCTCCGAGAAACTTAGTGAGACCTTCAAGGATCTTAATGAGAATGCTAGAACAATGGAAAAGGACCAGTCAGAAATTAAGCATACACTGTCTGAAATAAAGAATAATATACAGAAATTCAACAGTAGACTAGAGGATCCCAAAAATCAAGTCAAAGATTTGTAATACGAGGAAGCAAAATACACCCAACCAGAAAAGCAAAAAGAAAAAAGAATCCAAAAATATGAAGATAGTGTAAGGAGCCTCTGGGACAACTTCAAATGTACCAACATCCTAATTATGGGGGTGCCAGAAGAGGAGATAGAGCAAGATATTGAAAACCTTTTAGAAGAAATAATGACAGAAAACTTCCCCTAAATGGTGAAAGAAATAGAATTACAAGTCCAGGAAGCAAAGAGAATCCCAAATAAGAGGAATACAAAGAGGACCACACCAAGACACATCATAATTAAAATGCCAAGGGCAAAAGACAAAGAGAAAATCTTAAAAGCAGCGGGAGAAAAACAGTTAGTTACCTACAAGGGAGTACCCATACAACTGTCAGCTGATTTCTCAACAGAAACTATGCAGGCCAGAAGGGAGTGGCAAGAAATATTCAAAGTGATGACTAGCAAGACCCTACAACAAAGATTACTCTACCCAGCAAAGCTATCATTTAGAATTGAAGGTCAGATAAAGAGCTTCACAGACAATAAAAAGCTAAAGGAGTTCATCACCACCAAACCAGGATTATATGAAATGCTGAAGAGTATTCTTTAAGAAGAGGAAGAAGAAGAAAAAGGTAATGATAAAAATTATGAACAACACAGTTGTGGGAAGAGCTCAGGAGATCTACCTCAGTGCTTCGGCCGAAGCAACACTGTGAGTATACTCCAGTGAACAGACTTCCTTGGCACACCAGGAAGTGGCAACGCTTGCCTGACAAATCTCCAAGAGCCACCTATTCTTAGCCCCAACCCTCACTCCCACTGGATAACATAGCAAGTGTGTCCCTATTGCATTGGCTGCTTACCCCTTTATATATGGCTGTACTTCCCCAATAAAGTTAGATCTGTCTCTGAACCTGGTCTCCGGATTTGTGCATGCAGGACGCCCCAGCGCGTTGGACTCCGTCGTCCTCACCCCCGAGGGACCCCCTGTCTCACACAGTGACAACAAATACATATCTATCAGGAGAACAAGATGTTGACTGGCAGGAAGGTAGGGAGGGAGAGAGTGTGAGAGCACAAGGAGTGATAGAGGAGTGTGTGGACATATGTGGTGTGTGTGTGTATGAGCTAGGGACAGTTAGATTCTGCAGGTCTTCTAAGGGGTTGCTAAACCAGGCAGTCTTAAACTGCGGAGCCCCGCTCCCAGTGCAGACACTCCTGGATGGCCAGCGCAGGCACAGAGACCACACCATTTTGAGAAACAGCTGCTTGAGACTAGGATCCTGGCTTCAGCACCACCCAGTCTGGCCTCAGATGCAAACCAGGACTCTGCAGCCACTGGGGACAGAGACCACAGCTACAGACCCACGGACACCAAGAAACTAGACATCCTGGCGGCAGATATCTGTGAGTAACAGAGCCCATCCCCCTCCCCACAGGCTCGCCATAATAACTGATAGACCCACCCCTCACCCGGGCCTCAGTGCTGCTACAGGAATCTTAGCCTGGGAATGCGCAAACACTGGGAACTTGTTCCCTGCAGCATGGGCTACAGGAATCTTAGCCTGGGAATGCACAAACACTGGGAAATTGTTCCCTGCAGCACGGGCTACAGGAATCTTAGCCTGAGAACACACGAACACTGGGAAGTTGTGCCCCCCAGCACAGGCTATAAGAATCAGAGTTTGGAAACGCGCACGAACACTGTGAACTTGTTCCCCGCAGCACGGGCTACAGGAAGCTTAGCCTGGGAATAAGGCAAACACTGGGAACTTGTTCCGCGCAGCACAGGCTCCAGGACCCCAATTCTCCAGGGCAGGAGGCAGCACTAAGTACCAGTGACTTAACACTGTTTCTTATCACCTGATCCTGGGATCCCTGATTCCCAGTGCATTCACACTAAGAGCCAGTGATTCCAGTTCTTGGTGCATGTGCACACAGGGACCCTGATTCTCAATGCACGGCCACGTGAAGCAACAGAGACTCTGGTACTGGATTCTGGGGAACTCTGATTTCTGTCAAGTGCTAGGGGGCTCTGATTTTCAACACACTCCAGGGGGGTCTCTGTTTCAGCACAGTGAAGGTGGGGTCCCTAATTCTAAGTGCGCACATGAGACCACACTGAGCTCTGGTAACACTGACTCTGGGCGAGCCTGGTTCCCACCAACACACGACAACCACACATCTTAGTGTCAGAGCTCTTCTGTGACACTAGGGTGGTGCAAAGCTCCCACTGCACACCGCCCAGGCCCACGCAACTTGACATTTGAACCTTCTGGAGATAGTCAGAATGGGGAGACGACACAATCCCCAGAGGAAAGAAAATGAGGAGTCAACAAGAAAAGAAATTAATGAAATCGAAGCATGCAACATGACAGAAAAAGAATTCAGAGTAATGGATGTACAATTCATTAACCAGATGGATGAGAAAATCAACAACCTATGCAAGAATCAGGAAGAAATGAAAAGTGATATAGCTACAATCAAAAACACCATGGAAGGTTTCCACAGTAGACTAGAAGAAGCAGAGGACTGAATTAGTGAGTTAGAAGATAAGGTAGAGAAACAAGCTCAATCTGAACAGCAACTGGAGAAAAAAATTTAAAAGCAGGACGAGAGCCTAAGGGAGCTTCTGGACAATATGAAATGAAGTAACATATGCATAATAGGGATGCCAGAAGGACAAGAAGAGCAGCAAGGATTAGAAAATCTATTTGAAGAAATAATGACAGAAAACTTCCCTGATATGGGGAAGAAAAAAGTTACACAAGTACAGAGAGTCCCAAGCAAGGTGAACCACAAAAGACCCACACCAAGACATGTCATAATAATGATGGCAAATGTACACGACAAAGAGAGAATCTTAGAGGCTGCAAGAGAGAGACAGAGAGTTACCTACAAAGGCTCCCCCATCAGATTATCAAATGATTTCTCAACAGAAACACATCAAGCTAGAAGGGAATGGAAAGAGGTATACAAAGTGTTACAAAGCAAAGGACTGAATCCAAGAATACTCTATCCAGCAAGACTAACAATCAAAATTGAAGGGGAAATCAGGAGCTTCACAGAAAAAAAAAGGCTAAGGGAGTTTATCACTACCAAGCCAGCAATGCAAGAAATGCTAAAGGGAATGCTGTAAAAAGAAGAAATAAAAAGGTAAGAAAGAATACAGGCACAGAAATAGAAATGACTACAAACAAGTACCTTTCAATAATAACTTTAAACATAAATGGGCTAAATACTCCAATCAAAAGACATCAAGTGGCTGAATGGATAAAAAGACATGATCCATATATATGCTGTCTACAAGAGACCCACCTCAGAACAAGGGACTCACACAGACTGAAAGTGAAGGCATAGAAAAATATCTTTCAGTCAAATGGAAATGAAAAAAGAGCTGGGG